TCCTCCTCTTATCTCTCCATGGAGAGCTGACCAACACTTTTTGTGATATTAAATTTGAAAAACATGCTTTTACAATCTCATGCTGGCAAATTTTGGATTTCATTTTTTCAAGTTGAAAATCCAGCATTCAAGGAGTGTTTTAACTCAGAGGAGCTTTGTGGGCAAATAACCAAAGTTTTATCTTTCATCTTCCAGATAGTCCTAACCTGCTTCTCTGGCCCTGATCAGAAAAAACCTCATCCAACCCCACAAATATTCCAAGGATTTCAGTAGCATCTTGAATAAAAGAAAAATCACAAAAATATTTAAATAAGCAATTCCAATTTCAGGTCATACAAAGTCTGAAATTATTCAAACTTTCAAAATGAAATCTAAATTATATCTTTCATTTTCTATGTTCCCCTTTAAGTTTGCTTTTGGTTTTCTTGAAAAGTAAAAAGAAAATCTTTGTTTACAATTATCTACCAGAGTGGGCTCCAAATATGTTAGACTTAATCTCCAAGTGAAAAGAAATGAAAAAAACTAAAATAATTAGAAAAATTATATATATTTTTTTCATATCTGCTCATTTCTTGATAGTTAATGGCTTTTTTTATAAAGCACCTTTTTTCAGTCTGAAGACAAAAGCATTTTAAACTACATTCAGGCCTTCATATCCTGGTGGTGGCGTGCTACATCATAGTCTCAGCTGGCCTAAGGCAGACTGACAGAAAAAAGGCTGCAACACAAAAGCTTCTATCAGGTCCTCTGACCAACAACAGCAGCCAAGGCAGATGAAGTGTCTTGCTTAAGGGCACTATAACAGAGGCAGGCGGATAAGAAGCCTAAAAAGGCAACCCTCAGTTTACAGGAGAAACAATACAGGCTAAGCTACGGTCATTCCACAAAACTATGCATGGATTATTTCCTTTAAAAAATGAAGCTGTTCAATTAAGGGGTGTGAAAACCAAACCATTATAAATCCAAAAGGGTTTACTTTTTTAAATGTATTAATAGACGCATTATATCCTAAGTTCCTTTTGAACTCAACTGATGGATAATAAGAGGAGGACTTACTATTCCTTAGAAACACCCCTGCTGCGTTTTTTACCAAGTTTAATAAATTATTTTGGGTGAACATTTACTATAGAATTATGGAGAAGGAAAAAAAAAAGCCTGAAAATACTGTAAAAATATATATCTGCTTTCTGTTGTTCTTTAATTTTCTATTTCCCTTGTCCTATTTTGTCCCTCAGAGCCATGAAATAAAGATTCATAGATGACATATGGAACACGGGTGGGACACATATGCTTAACTGGTAAGCGTGAGATTTCAGACTGTGAGATAATATCCTTTAAGGACACTAAAAAGCTTCCTAGAAGATCGGGGACCCTTTGCAGATACTCACTATAAAGCTCTTTTTTCATGGCTCCAACAGGCCACAATGGCGAGACGGATGTCTGAAATGGCAATTCTTCACGCTCTGATCCAAAGTTAAGCACGGGCTCCTGCTTTTTAAACATACAACCTTTATTACAAATTCTTCAAGGAAAACTTTGGTTCTTAAACATAAAATTCTTACTGAACTGTATTATCATTACATAATTTCTTTTAGTAATCTAATGCTTTTGAACTAATTTATTAGTCTTCCTCCTATAATAGCTTATAAATTTAGAGTTACTCAATTAGTTAAGTGTTTTTAACAGAAATATGTCTAACCTGGGTTGGAGTTCTTTATTTGATAAGTTATTTTATTTTAAGTGGAAGTAGTGGTAAATGTATGCTGTGTGTTATAGGAAAACATACCGACAGTCGGAAGATATTTGATTAAATATGAAATAACAAAAATGTATAAATATACATAACCCCTTACTTAAAGTGAAAGAAAAGTTTTTAATTACATCAATCACAAATGCTGGGGATTCAGTTGTACCCTGAACTGTTATCAATGCTAATGATGCAGAATTATTTCATGTCTGATCAGGTAAAGACTCAATTGTTCCATGCATTAGATGTGCTTTAATTATTGTAGGTTTTTTTCTTTGGTGTTGAAGAACTAATATTAGGAAATAAAGACAGACTGTGTAGCTTAAACTTGCAAATTTTGTGAATATACCTTTGAGAGTATAAAAGCTGCTAAATCCAAGGAATAACAGCAGCTTTCTGGTAGAAAACAGGGATCAGTTGATCAATTGATCAACATGAGCAAAGTCAACACCATGTTGGTACATTAGAGAATGAAAGAAGTTTCACAGAAAAGCTGAAATATTAGTTCCCTTTTTATTCAAAGTGAAATCATTTACCGGTATACAGTTTCTAATAACTGAAAATATCCTGCCTTGTGGCAAGGTCTTCCAAAAGGCTGCAAGAACTGAAAAAAAGCTAATCCGTTAATAAAAGTTCAACAAATAAAATAAAGCTACTCTCTGTAATATGGTTAGCTCCCCTGTTGTCATTTTTTAGAGCTAAAGAGTTTTAACCTGAGTTACTTTAGCCCTATTTTGAGATAAAATCTGCCCCTCTACTCTAAATATTTCTATAATTTGAATATAAAAACATTTATTTTCTGTTTTCATTTGTTTCGGCACTAGTTTGTGCATTATAATTAATGCTAAGCAGGGGGGTTTCTTTGATACCAGGAAGTCCACTGACACCGGTATTTTTTTACTTTAATATCTACCAGATGTAAACAATACTCTACCTAGGTATTTATATACTTGTGAAACTCAATAAAATTTGTGAGATTATCAAGTTTTCTTCATCTAAGCATGGATGGATCAGCGGGTTCTTATCAATGACTAGATAACTCTCAATGTATTATTAGGAACTGTGTATAAATGAACTCTGAAATGTTGCCTCAGAGGTCTCCCAACCGACCCAGTCCAGTTCAGAGAATCATACATGCTTGCAGATAACTGGAGTACATGATAATCAACTATGACTGACAGCATCATCTTCTGACAAGTCTGAAACATCTACCTGCTTCTTTTCAGCAGCAGGCATTTATGATTCATCTGACCTCATAAGTTTTAACAATTGGACTTTGACCAGCATTCAAGAAGCTTAAAGAGAGACATCATCTTATGTATAATCAGTCATTGATTTAATATATTTACCATTTTCTTATATATAAAAACACAATAATCACAATATTTCAATAAGATGCTGATCTATGTCTGCTTCATTTCTCTTACAGAAGGCTCACTGCCCCGGGCGGCACTGCATAGGGGGGTGGCACTAGGCATCAACAAGATAAAAGCTACGTAACACTTTACACATTATAAACTAAAAGAAACTGCTAAATGGCTTGTGGGAAGTCTGCCTCCCTGTGTTGGATTGCATGTAAATAATTAGAGGAATGTACTGTGATGGGTGAGAGTTACGAGTCGGTTTGTGGTTCCTGCTTTGCAATTAGTACTAAGTTACAGAGCTTTAGTATAATTCAGGGAGTAAGAGTTATATCTGATTATGTAACAAATAATCAATATATAAACAGTAGACTTTATGATAATTATTAGGCTTTTTTTTCTATTTCTAAAAAAGAAACAAAAACTTTTTATTGATTTTCCAAATAGATATATCTGTATACACCCATGGAGTGAGTTCTTACTCTTATTCCACTTATTTGGGAAAGGATATTAAAAAATAAGACATGAAAAAAGGATTTCAAGTATTTGAAAAAAAAAAGTTACTATTTTTACCATGAAAATAATGGTTGTTTTGTTTGGATGTAATTGTGTAGCTTTAACACTAGAAGTCCTGGAGAATTTCACTTTTCCTGCAAGGCCCCCTCCCCTCTTCAAGTTTGTGTATTCACTCTACCTTTCTAACTGTCCCTATTGTAATGCAAATAAGCTGTGATATGACCAGCCATTCTACAGGAGATTAATGGCTGAAACAAACTGAAATCAGAACAAAGGGCACACTACAAAAACTTTCCATTACCTTCCCTTGCAACATCAGACCTTTTTGCAGGAATATCTTGATATGTCATCTCTAAATCTTTTATTTAGGCAAACTTATTGAAAAACCAGATATCATACGGGTCCTAGTTCCTGAGCTGAGAACAGGTTATAACCCAGCTTTTCCAACAAGGCAAGGCAGAGCCTTTTCTCAGGGCCCTAGCATTTCTGTCAGCTGGCCTGTTCATAACTGTTAGCTAACTTGACCTTTCTTTGCATTATTTATTTAGTGTAACTCGTTCAGTTTAGCAATATTTTAAGTAATTAAAACTCTACCACAGCAGTTTACATTTTTCTTGTAAAGAAAAAAATCCATGCTGTGATTAGAATAATTTCTATATACCTAATCCACAGCAGTGTGCTATAGAATGATGTGGTTTATTGGTTCTTGCAGGGCGGCAGAGAGCAACACCAGCCCAGATCCAGATCAGATCAGATCCCAGTGATCTCTCCACCTACATCTTCACCTCCTGATCTTTTTTAAAGATCCACTCTTATTCTTCAAATAGCTTTTATGATGAAGAAAGTTTATAACTGTTTTAATAAATTCCATAGTTACTATAACAGTTTGTCTCTACTTCTATACATTTGTTGTATTGTTGACAACAACCATATAATTATATCTCATATAGTACCTGTGCCATAGATTTCTCTAAGTTAAAGGTTTTGTCATGCATCCTAAAACATATTTACTTCACATTAAAATCACTTTTTATTGAGATATGGACAAAGAATTGATGTAGAGATATGAAGAAATGTGAAATCAAGGATCTATGGCGACACAGATGCTGGTTGAGCTTCTCTTTAATGCTTATTCAGATCAAATTCCAGAAAATATTTGTCTTAGTTTTTATGTGGGTGGATGCAGATGCATAAACAGAAATGAAACTTTGAAGCAGGGGGGAGATTTGTACTTAGTGGTGTTTGCAAGAAAAGAAAAATATGTGGGGGAAAAAACAACAAAAAAATAATACATTTTTAAAAACTGAAACATTTGTTTCTGAAAGCTTTGGTGTAGCAGAGAAAGCGTCACACCAAAACCTTTGGAAAAACCTCACCTATTGTTGACACCACAGTGCCCACGAAGTAAAAAGCTCCAGGGAAGTCCCACCGGGGTCTGGTCGTATCCACGCGTATCCCCGCCACGTTCGCTTCCTCGTAGTTCTTCAGAAAGTTCCTCAGCTCCTTCTTGCTCAGGTTATACTTCTGAGAGAAGTGCTCGAACCTCTGCGCCCATCGCTCCTTCGCCTCCCGCTCCTTAGGCTGCTCCAGCGCGGAGAAGACGGCGGCTCCGCACAGCAGGTAGAGGATGATGAAGAGCGCCAGCAGCAGGAACCGCGCGTTGTCCTCGTTGATGGGACCAGAAGAGCCGCAGCAGCAGCCGCTCCTACATGCCATTATGTCGCTATTATCACCGCAGCGCAGTGACAGACCTGTGGCAGACGGAGTAGTCCGCCACTGTAGACTTTCATCGTGTTTTAGGCAGCTCAGTTTCCTATAAAAAGCTCCAAAGTGCTCAATAAACTACACCTTTCATCACTTCCAGTGGGTTCATCTGACATCACATCTAGAAAATAACCAAAGACAGGAGAAAAACAATGACAGCAACCTGTAGATGCAGCGAGTCGTACTGATGTGAAGCTCCACAGATGCGTCTCCAAAGGAGTCCCCGCCCCGGAGCGCGCATTTTACGCACCAGAGTCTGATCATCACTGCGAAACTTGCGCCTAACAGGCAGATAATGAGTCTGAACATAACCCCCGTCATGTTTGACCTGATCCAAACTTTGGAGGTTTGATTCTGACAGTATAGAGCGTGTTTGAAATGGTCCGATCAATAACATTTGACCTTTACGGGGCTCTGATGCGGGAGCCACTTTTCTGTCCGTCTTTACACGGGGGCCGTGTGAGCAAATGTCACTGTGGAAATAAATTATTCAGGATGAGTGATGCGCCCGAAGAGCTATTTCTGGATACATGGGAAATTTGACTGGAGTCAACAGATCCATGGACAGAGCGCAAAGGCATCTGAGTGATGGAGGTAGAGGTTTCACCACCTCTGACTCCATCACTCAGAGAACAGCGACAGCCTGCAAAACTATTCCTAACTTTTTTTTACATGAAATATAAGTTTCTTTTATTATTATTTTTTTTATGATATCCATTTACAAAGTAGAACATACCAAAAGCTGAGAATCTTAGGCTTAATGTTTGGCTATACCTAATGTGATTTTGTACTGGACGTTGACTGGGACATTTATGGATCACTGTATTTTGTCCACACCTGATTTTGTGGTTATTGCAAATGTTTTGTTGTTTTCTAATTTATTTCCTTTAGGGGAATGTGCTTCCCATCTGGCCTATATATTCGGATGGATGGCCTTTACTCAGTAGATTTGCAGTTGTGCCATATTTTCCAATGTTAGATGTTCAAGCCATTGAAGATGGTCCATAGATATTGTTTATAACCTAACTTTACTTTAAAATTCTCTACATTTTTCTTTCATTGGTTTTCTGGTTTGTTCCTTGGTATCAATAATACTTAAACAGCTGAAGTGTTATGTGAGGCTTGATAAGTCCTTTCTGTATTTGAAATCTGGCCCATTGATCTTTACTACATATCTTCACTTTCTCTCTCAACTCAATTTCCTGTCAAAAAAAGATTCCTAGTGAAAATAAAATAGTATTCATGGATGTTTTATATGTAATTACAACTTTAAGACTAATTGCTAGTGGGTGCATGCTGTATTTTCTGAAATTTGCTGCCTTAAAGCTATGTGCTACTTTGTGTTTATCTATCACATGAATCTACCCCAAAAAGTGTTTTTAAGGTTTGATGGAAAAATATAGTGAAAGTAAAGGAGATTATATGATCAAAATCTATTTTTAAACAATCAAGAAAGTTTGATTATAATTTTGGACTCTCAGAAACATATATTTGTATGCCTACTGTCAAAGATTGTTCAGTATTTTGACTTATCAGGTATTTACCCAGTATTTATTTTATTGAACTGAATAACTTTGACCAAGTATTTTGATATAGAATAACCTCTACATGTTTCTAAAGCCTTTGATTTATGTCTGCAATCTGTGTGTTTCCATGGTAATTCAAGACATTTTGTAACACAGATAAAAGATCTGATGTAATTTCTCTTGCATTTGTCTTTTTATTTATAGAGCATTTACATAAAATCTGAGAGCACACGATTTAATAACACCATTGCAGCAGACTATAATTACACGTACCCTGGAGAGGTCAGCGGGATTTGTCGTCAGGCTCTGGAAGATGGTACTTTGTATCGTTTTACCCCTGTTTACCAGCACCATCATTAAGCCCATTCTTCAATCAGCCTCATACTTGCAAAGCAAACAGACCACGTTTCTGTAGCAGCGCTCTAACTTAAGCTCTTGGGTTTATGAGCTTCCAAACAAGCGAATATCCTCGAGCGGCATTTCCACCATCTTGAGCATAATTGATGTGCTCATTGTGACCTTTGAACTCCCCTTGGTGGGTGTTGAGAAAGAACTGGATATTTTTATGATGGAGTCAGGTCAGCAATTCAGAGGAGTTTGAAAAACAAAATTCCCCTAAGTCAAGGTCTATTCTGCAGTTCAGCCAAATTGGACTAAGAAATAAATAGCAAGTCACACATTTTAATGACTTTAAACTATTTGGCCAAGTTCATTTAAAAAACAACAACAACGATTTAATGAATATAATATTTAGCTTAATGCTTTGCTACTTGATCAAGTTAGTTGGTTTTACAGTAATTAATGTTTCTAGCAAAATCTGCTCTTAGCAAGTCAAATAATTTCTGCAAAATAAACATTTCATGATTCTACATCCAATATCTTTAAGCCAGTTTAATTAGAAATTTGTCAGGACACACGGTAGAAGGACCCAGTATTCAAGGCAAGACAGACAGTGGAATAATTAAAAGGCGTTTATTGAAAGAGAGTAGATCGGGCCGTGGTATGAAAGCTAGGGCGGGGCACTGCCCATCAGTGGAAACTCTGGTTGGAGAAAAACACAGATGATACTCTGACGGAGAATGATTATCCATATGAGTCTCTAACCTGGTTTAACAGTTAATCTCCATAGAACTAGGTAGGACCCAGTTGGTTGGCTGCCAAAGACAGCGTCCCAGATGCTGCAGCCCCAGAGAACAAGCAGGAGTCCGAGCAAGGTCAGAGAAATAGATCAGAACAGGAAGGCTCAGAGTTCCAAGAGTCCGAAGCCCAGTCAGGGATACCAATAAGAACAGGAACAGGCTGATTCAGGGTTGGAGGAGTCCACAGATAGTTCAGGCAGAACATTTAGATGGGAACAGACACACTTAGTGGATGAGTCGTATAAACAGAAGCAGCAGCAGGTGTATTAGATAAGCAGTAATGAACAACTTGGCAGAGTTAGACAAGTGAATGGAGTGAGCAATTAGGCCAGCCATCGGTGCCAAGTTCATGACAAAATCCTTAGGTTTTTTTGTACAAATATGTCATGATGCCGCATTATACATCTTATCTACTAATAGAAATCAGAAATATGAGAGATCAGATCATTCTAGTTAAACAGATGATTGGATTGGCAAACAAACACACAAACAAATAAAGAAAAATCACTGTGTATGCTGGACCAGAGTAGTACGTTTAAGAAGTTTGTTTGGAGCTTTCCAAAAAAGTTAAAAACAATCCACTGGACTTTGTTTCCAGGTCCGAAGACGTTTCGCTTCCCACCCAGGAAGCTGTTTTTTGGAGCTGTAACCACTGAGCCTGGACCAGCATCCATTTATTTTCAAACTATGCAAAGTAAACAGGATAAGAAGGAAAGTAAAAATGTTTAAACCTCAGTGTTAGATCATCACAGCAAAGTTAGTATGATGTGGCTCAAAGTCCACATAACATTAGTTGATCCATGCTAGGAAAAAATAAATCAAATTTTAGACATATAATTTTTTAAACTGTGCTGGGGCTTTAAAGGTGCATTGCACAAATCTAAACTGAACTGCTGCTAGTTTTACTCACATGCCTGGAAGATGTCTAGTGCTACTACCACTGATGATCTCGCTCACTAAATGGAATTGAACGATTCAGATTAGCTAGCCGAATGACGCGCGGATGATGTCATACACACTCCGCTTTGTTTTTAAAACATATAAATATAAATAATATGACCGCAGATGTCTGGGGGACAGTGATTCGCCTACATGTTATGAATGCTGGTGTACCATAAATGATAAATTATGAACAGTTTAGTTTGTGCCTTCAAGTGCCCTTCAAGTGCCCATAGGAAGACATTACTTGGATATAATCTAAGGGAATATCTTCAGAACGGCTCCAAATGACACAAAACTCATATGGATGAGCAGAACATGATGTAATAATGGAAAATCAAGGGCCCAATGTAAAAAAAACGGCGTTCACCTTTAATATTGACCGCTGTGGAAAATTAGTTTTTTTTTTTTTATAGGTTACATTAGTCTGTTCATGAGATAATG